CAGAGCCGCCCTCTTGGAGCCCGGAGGTGAAGGAAGCAGAGCAATGGTGGTCACTGAGGTCAGGGTGGTGTGTAAGTGGTTCCCCGGATGGTGAGAGGTGGAGCCCCAGAGGATGCTGGCGTTCCTGAACAGGTGTAGAAAAGATGGTGGTCACTGAGGTCAGGGTGGGGTGTAAGTGGTTCCCCGGACGGTGAGAGGCGGAGCCCCAGAGGATGCTGGCGTTCCTGAACAGGTGTAGAAAACGGAGCCAAGAGGACAAAGTGCCCCGGGAAAAGAAGTCAGAGGGGGACAAGAAGGAGCTTTAGGAGGGAAGTGCAGTCACCAGGTCCGACGTGTGCAGAACAGCTGGCTGCAGGGAACTGAGCGCGAGCGCAGAGCACAGGCGAGGGCGTGGAGGGGCCCACTCTGGGCAGAGCAGCAGCCACACGTGTTTCTGTGGTTCACCACTGCTGTTCCTGCCCCGGACCGCGGTGCCACAAAGGCAGCGGCCTCGTCACCTGTGCTCTCCACACTGTCTCCACTGGGAGCGGCAGCCCAGGGGCTGGATGGGAAGAGCCAGGAAAACGGAGCTGTTGGGGTTGCTGCAGGGGTGAGGTGTAGGGGTCCTGTGAGTCAGAGTGGGGAGCTGGCTGAGAAGGGGAGCTCGGACATAATGAGGAGGGACCGTGGATGAGGAGGGTCCGGGGGCAGGTTGGATCAGTCGCCCCCTTGCATGCAGACTTCATGCACCCACCTCAGGAGGCCTCCTTCATGAACTTGAGAGCCGAGACCCGTGGCCCGGGCGGCAGCCTGATGATGGAAGGGAACGCGGGGCACTCTGTGAACGGTGCGAGAACGGCAGCGCTGTCCATGGCTCCTCGCATCAGGACAGAGATGGCACAGGCTGGCCGGCTGTGATGGCCGCTGATACGGGGCTGCTGGAAAGCTAGCTCGGACCGCGTGGCTTGAACAGTGAACGTGTGTGTCCTTTGGAGGCCGGAAGTTCAGGACCGAGGGGAGGGCGGGGTTGGTTTCTCCTGCGGCTTTCTCCCTGGCTTGCAGACGGCCACCTGCCCACTGTGTCCTACCGGCCTTCTCGCTGTGTTCTGGCATCCCTAGTGTCTCTAGGTGTCCACATGTCCTCTTCGTAGGAGGACTGCAGTCACACTAATGGGGGCCGGTCCCAGTGACCTCAGTTCAGCTTAATCACTTCCGTAAGGGCCCTCACTCCAAATCAGTCTCTTTTTGAGGTCCCAGGAGTTGGGGCTTCAACACCGGAGTGGGGGAGGGGCAGTGCTACCTATTACAGTCTTGGAACAGGAATAGAGCTCATTCTTCAGGTATTTATCCAGCATCTATTGGTGGATCATCTGTTTCCAGATTGGGGCTCTAGCCCAGTAATACCCACCAGACTGCAGGTGGACAAGTCCTCAGTGCCTCACTGCAGCAGTGCGCCTCGGTTTCTCGGTCGTGGACCGGAACAGTAACGAACATCCTAACCTCAGCTCCTAACAGGCCCTTAGAGAGTACCTTCTGTGAAGCAGGCGTGTGTCGTCTCATTACAGCTCTACAACCCTCCTGTAACGCAGGCCGAGAAACCCGAGATGCAGGGAGCTTCAGGGTGAGGGGGCAAAGGTCGAAGTTGGCTTTCTCCAGAATGGTCAGATCTGCTGGGCCTGAGGCCTTGGGCAGCAGAGCAGAGCAGCCCAGCTGCTGATCTCTGTCCACAAGGTTGATGTGGGCGAGCTCCCCGGGCATCTGGACAGGCCTGTAGCCCTCATTGGTACCAGCTGGTGCTAGAGAGCTCCATAGTGGGGCAGAGTTTAGGTAAACGACTTTGCCATCCCTCTGCCCGGGAGTCAGAGGGGTGGTGGGGCCTTGGAGATGTGAGGAAGGTGAGGTCTGATTTCAGGTAGGGTGCTTAGGGAGCCTTCTCCTTTTTAGGTGGAAAACCATCTCGACCAACTCTAAATTATGGCAGAGGCACAAGCTGAGGTCAGAGAGAGGAAGAAAGAAGAGCTGTTCCTGGCTTGAAGGATGGTGTTCTGGGCTCAAGCGTAGCAGACCCTCAGACTTACATATCACAAAGTGTCTCTGCAGCTCGCTGTTTCCCTTCGACTAAGCCAGGGCCCTTCCCAGGCGGGGAGCTGACTCAGCCTTCTAAGACTGAGTGCACCATGTGTGTGGGTTGGTCCACTCCATGGCGCTACATTTGGCCAGAGAGGAGCTGGGTGCTTAGACCAGCCAAGGTGCTGGGCTTTGTCTAGGTCCTGGTGGGGAGAAGGAGGCATTCTGATTTTTGGGAGCCTGAAATCCGAGGATGCTCATGGTATGAGGTCTTCTGGGGGCAGAAGGAGTCTCCCTGGATGCACACTGGAAATCTGAGCTTGGGAGCTGGGTTTATAGGAAGGACTTAAATCTTCCAGTTGCTCCCCAACTTGCTTAGAGAAACATCTGAACTCTGTTTCAACCGGCAAGGTGAGGCACAATCTGACTCCTGCCCTCCTTCCAGAAATCTCTCTCCCCATTGCTGTTCCTTCTGGCTGCTCTACTCTTCCTGCTGGTCTAGTGCCTGCTCCAGGGCCTTTGCACCTGCCATCCCTCTATCTGACTCTTCCTTGTCATTCCCACCCCCAGTGTTCTCCAGTGCATAGTCTAAAGTAGCACCCCATCATTTTCCACCCCTCCCCCCATCTTGTTAGCATTATAGGACTTATCACAGCCAGGTATCAGCTTTGTTTGTCACTTACTTATAAACTTCTTTATTTGCTACGTTCTCCCTCTCCCTCCCGCCCTGTGGCCCCTGCCATCTGTCATCTTTGTTATTGACAATGTAGTCTACAACGAGACCCTGGCACTTGATAGAAAGTGGATGAATATAGAAGATTTAATGCTGACAAAAGCAAGCCAGACTACGAGCGAGACATGTATGTCCCCACTTAACCCACACTGATGTCTGCACTCTACGGCAGAGACTGCAGGACTGGAAGGCATAAATGCATGAGAGCAACTGTGGATACCAGAGATAGCGCGGGAGGAGGTGGGGAACGGCGGGGGAGGGAGGAAATCAGGAGGGGTAAAAGCATTTAACGGGGAACCAGCAGTTAGCGTAATGGCTATGTCACTGGATTCCCACGTAGTCGACCATGGTTCGTGTCCCGGACCCGGTGGCTTAAAACTCACGCCGGGCGCGTGTGCATGCATGCCCAAGATCTCGAGAGGAGAATGGAGGAGAAGGGATTGTGGCGTGACCATCCCCCCTGGGGGGTGATTTCTCGCTTTCTGTCTCTATGTCTCTCTCTGTCTGTTTGGCGAGCGCACGCGCCAGGCGCCCTAAAGTGAAAATCTCTCCAAAAAAAAAAAAAGCATTTAATGGAAGATTATCTGTTGATGATAACATGTATCATACTATCTTTGAATGGACTAATATAAAGTATACCTATGCTGAGAAAATTCATTTGGTATGCTTAAATGTAAAAAAAAAAATAAGAAGAAGAAAAAAATAAAAGAAAGGGGGGAAAAAGGATAAAAATAAATAAATAAAATGTAGTCTACAAAAGAGCCTGGCATATGTTAGATGCTCAATGAACACTTTCAGAATGAATGAATAAAATACTCTTTTTCAAGGAATGTAGTTATTATGTCTAAGAAAAAAGGCGGACACAATCATTTCCATGCGAAACTCAACGTTTCTTATCTTTGTGTTTTTTTTTTATGCAGGATCCACTGTCCCTGCCGTACAGCCTGGTAGAGGACCAGAGAGAAACATCTGAACTCTGTTTCAACCGGCAAGGTGAGGCACAATCTGACTCCTGCCCTCCTTCCAGAAATCTCTCTCCCCATTGCTGTTCCTTCTGGCTGCTCTACTCTTCCTGCTGGTCTAGTGCCTGCTCCAGGGCCTTTGCACCTGCCATCCCTCTATCTGACTCTTCCTTGTCATTCCCACCCCCAGTGTTCTCCAGTGCATAGTCTAAAGTAGCACCCCATCATTTTCCACCCCTCCCCCCATCTTGTTAGCATTATAGGACTTATCACAGCCAGGTATCAGCTTTGTTTGTCACTTACTTATAAACTTCTTTATTTGCTACGTTCTCCCTCTCCCTCCCGCCCTGTGGCCCCTGCCATCTGTCATCTTTGTTATTGACAATGTAGTCTACAACGAGACCCTGGCACTTGATAGAAAGTGGATGAATATAGAAGATTTAATGCTGACAAAAGCAAGCCAGACTACGAGCGAGACATGTATGTCCCCACTTAACCCACACTGATGTCTGCACTCTACGGCAGAGACTGCAGGACTGGAAGGCATAAATGCATGAGAGCAACTGTGGATACCAGAGATAGCGCGGGAGGAGGTGGGGAACGGCGGGGGAGGGAGGAAATCAGGAGGGGTAAAAGCATTTAACGGGGAACCAGCAGTTAGCGTAATGGCTATGTCACTGGATTCCCACGTAGTTGACCATGGG